AGAGAGAGAGAGAGAGAGAGAGAGAAATGCAATATATAATATAACAAACATTTCTTGGGGCTCCAAGAGAAATGTTTTCTTCAAAAAGGGCTCTGTGGCTGGAAAAGTTTCGAGAGCCTTCGCTTTACAGAAATATCCCAAATTAAATTCCATTGAAATTGGCAGATCTTACTTTTCAGTGTATATGCATAGGATTGCATTAGTAATCAAACAAATAGAAACCAACAAGTCTTAAAAACATCAGCTTTTAATTCATAATTAAAAGGTATAACTTCCTTAGAAATTCCAGGTTTCTTCTTAGAGTGAAGTCATAGTCCTCGGCTGAAATAGGGCCATATTAGTGATGCACTGAATAATTTAGCTCAGTGTAAAACAAATTAGGACATGTTCCATTGTTCCTAAGATGGATGGCATAACAAAGAGCTGGGTATTTTAATATCCTGCTTAATGTCAACTTAGAAAATGAGATTCTTCCTTAACCTTTCTGTTTCGTTCACAAAGATGAATGAATGGTCACAGAGGCTTACTGAAAAAAGCATAGTAATAGCTGAGGTGGTATTTCTGTCTGAAAAGAGCTTTATAAAAATCAGATTTTAAAAGGAAAAATGTATCGATGTGGCATGATTTAATGATGAAAATGAAATAATGTAACCTAGATTCACTTACATCAAAGGTAATCATTTTTTTTAAAAAAAAGGATAAATATGGTAAAACTGATTCCATGCATTCTATTAAATATAGTATTAGGTAATACTTAGTTACTGGTGGCACTTTAGTTTAGCAAGCTCTGAACTGCTTTAACTCTTTCTTGCTTTCAGTAAGTTTGATTCACTGCCTGTTCCCATATCCTACACACATGGCTGTGGCTGCACATTGTAAGAAGCAATAAAACTATTTCAAATGAGAGAAAACACATTCCTTTGGTTTCTAATATAACTGAATCTAGGTCTAAGGAGCCCTGAAAATAGTACATTCTGGTACAGTTGTTTTTTGTTGACTGTGGAAAAAGTGACACTAGTTGCAGGCAACAGCAATCTAAGTAGATATGTGAATGCTGATATCTCGATGTTGACATTTGAGAACTGAAAAAGAGGGGTAAGGCCCTGAGATCTGGAAAACCTAGTTTCAGATCAAAACACAAAGTAAATGGGGATCAAGGACAGCTTCAGAAATGAGTCAAAGCAATTTTCAAGATGAAAGTGACTGATGATGGTATTGGTTAGCTGTTGGGATCAGAAGTATGTTAGCTAGCACACAACACTAGCATTTGCATTTATTGCTGTGTTGCACAGTGGTGGCAGAAAGGTCATACAGGGTGAGGCAGCATAACTTCCTTTTTTTAAATGCGTGCCATTCAGTTGGTTGAAGACGTAGTGGAGCGCTAGTGGTCTTGTTCGAGAGGTGGGAGTATAAAGTTTTGTCCTGACACAGTTCAGTCGCCATCATGCGTTGGAACAGTGAGGAGCGTGCTTTTGCCGTTGAGGCCTACTTTTCGAGCGGATTTGGAGTGGCCGGCCCGCTCTCCAGATTTGGCCCCTTGTGATTTTTTTCTATGGGGTTTTTTGAAATCCCGTGTTTATGTGAACCGTCCAAGGACCCTACAAGATTTGAAGACCAACATCCAGGAAGAAATTGCCAACATAACGCCTGCTATGCTGGCAAGAGTCATGACAAATGCCAGAAATCGGTTTACTCAGTGTATGGAGAATGGAGAATGGGAGACATCACCTAACTAATTTGGTCTTCAAAACTAAGTAAAACAAAACTTTAGGTATGTGCCTACATTATAAATAAAAATAAAAATTTCTGATTCATACAATGGGTTTTATTAAGTTTTGAAAAAAGGAAGTTATGCTGCCTCACCCTGTACAATGGATCTGGCATTGAGTGTTTGCCATCTTTTGTTGTAATCCATCTGAGTCCCCTTGGAGAGAGAGGGTGGAATATAAATAAAGTTGTTGTTGTTGTTGTTGTTGTTGTTGTTGTTGTTATTATTATTATTATTATTATTATTATTATTATTATTATTATGGCTCTGAGCAGTCTACTTTGGCAATGGTTTAGTTTCTCTCCATGGACATCATTCCTTCAGACCTTTTGCTCTCATTGCCACTAGCAACTCTGCTGTAGCATAGTGCACCATAGAGGAGAGCAAATGCACCATGGCTCAAAACAACAAATTCACCTTAAAATAGTTTAAAATTACAACATTAAAAGTTAAAAAACATTCCATCCAGAGTTCAAGGTTTAAGGCCATTCCAAGGTCAAATTGTGCATAATTCTATATATCGGCATACTGCATTGCCCTAATTTTCAAAAGCCTGCTCCCAGAGCCAGGTTTTGATTCCCTTCCTGAAGGCTAGTAGGGAGGGGGCTGATCTGTCACTAGGGAGGGACTTCCACAATCGTGGGGCCATCACCGAGAATGTTCTATCTTTCGTCCCCGCCAGCCATACTTGTGAAGCAGGCAGGACCGAGAGCAGGGTCTCCTCAGATGATCTTAGTCTCCGAGTTGGTTCATAGGGGAAGATACGTTCAGACAGGTAGCCTGGGCCATAACCATTTAGGGCTTTGAATTATTTTCGGTAGCAGACTGGCAGCCAGTGGAGCTGATGCAAAAGAGGAGTTGTATGTTCCCTGAGCACCGCTCCGGTGAGCAACCTGGCTGCCGCTCGCTGGACCAGTTGGAGCTTCTGAACAGTTTTCAAAGGCAACCCCACATTGTTTAAAGCAAGTAAAGACTTAATTAAATCAAAAGCCAATCCCGTTTTTTAATAGTGCGTTTCTACAGAAATAATTTACCTGGATAATCATAAATTGACCATCAAATCCACCACTGGTTTCGTTCTAACATAGTATTAAAAAAACTCTACACAATTCCATGGATTAACTATTATGGAAAATATACATAAAACTAAATGTTGCTTTCTATTTAGTGAGATCCTGATGAATTGCTATTATATTTCACCTCTTCCCAGACTTGCTTGAGTAAGTGGCAATGGGAGATCAGGAATACAGGTAACCAACAGTGCAATATGGTAGTGATCCAATAAACAGATAAAAATGTACTTTGTTCCTAACTTTGAAATGATGGGGAGCAAGTAAATCTATATAATACATTCTATACAAAGGCTGAGGTTCCAGATTTATTTAATTAAATTAATGCTTATATGTATCACAATGCATGTGCAAATTTCAAACATGTTATCATTCACTTTATTTATTTATTTGTTTATTTGTTTGTTTGTTTATTTATTTATTTATTTATTTATGTCCCATCCTATCTCGACCTCCGCAGAGGGACTCAGGGCGGCTAACAACCAGTTTCTCTCTCCTCCTCCCTCTCCCCATCCCCTTTGTCCTCAGCTTACTTCAATTGCTGTAAGGAAGGATAGTTTGCACACAATTAACTCAGAGGGGAGGAGAGGGTTTAATGTTACCTTCCCCAGTAGGCCTAGATAAAAGGAAACAACTGCAGCCTCTCCTAGCTTGTATGCCTTTCCTCGCTGACAACGTTTGCCATCTTGCTCAAACTCTGATGCTGTTTAGTCACACATGTACCAGCTTTCACTTATGAAATGTTGGCAGGCATGTCAAGTGTATGCACACAAAATGTACACATAGTACACTGAAAGTGATATTAGACACACTATAAACTATCTTATGCATCCTGAAATACACTACTCAACATTCATGCATAAGTCTAAACATTTTAATCAAAAACGGATTTTAAAAATCTGGGCTAACTTATCCATGAGACAATGTGAGTACTGAACCTCAACCTTCTTTATCAAAGAAGGAACAATTCCCTTCTCTGAGTAGAGTGGAAAAAAGCAAGAACTTAGTTAACCCTGGGAGAACAAAAAAGAAGCAGCAGCGATACACTCTACTCTCCATCTGCACCTCAACATCTGCCCTGTTTGAATCCCTGGGGGAGAAATGGAAGCAGTGTCCAGGGGTGGCTGGCACTTTGCAGAATGACTTTTCCATAGGTCATATCAATATCTATAATTTGGCTCCAATATTGGCTCTCAATTTATACATATGATTGACTAATGACCAGGTATATACAGCAATGTATTCCTTTATAAAAGACACTGTGTGTTCTAGAAACATATTTCGGAAATTATTTCGAAACCATAATAAAAGAACCGATGGGATATATAACAGATTGATAGGATAAACCATACCTAGCTTGACTAAATGGAAGGTTCATGTCCAGAGACAATACTGAGTTACTTAAATTATTTAACATATAAGTTCTAGATATTGCATAGCAGCATCTCAGAGCATCAACTTCAGGCCCTGAACTAGGACTGTTATTTTTTCATTCTGGACACTAGGTAAAATAATGTGCCAGATCAGTATTCTGTTCCAATATATGGATTTGCTTTGATTCATTGGCTTTCAACCCTTTGTGAGGATCCTCCACATAAAAGAGAAAAAGGCCTTTTTAGTCCAAAGGATGTGTGTTGCCTGGATGTCTCTTCAAATAAAATGACGACGGAGCCAAGCAAACCACAGCAACAACAAAAGCCTTCAACACCTGCAGAAGATCTGTGACAACACAGGCCTCCACAAAAATGTATCAAGGCAACCAATCCATGATGACAAAAGGCTGATCTAATTATAAAGTTAAATTACAGGGTCCTTATAAAGAAAACACAATAACAGCAATGAGCCTGGAAGTGGCTAAGTTGCCAACAAAATCATCCCTATTAGCATCTATTCATGACTTGAATTATGCCTTTTTATCTCTGCATAACATTCAGCATTTACTTACCATTAAATTTGTGGAGCACTGCAACTTTCTGCTGACATTAATTCATCTGCCCAAAATAGAAGACTCCAGCCATTCAGATGATTATTTCCTAAGATTTTTTCTTCAGCTTTATAATAGCAAGAAACCTCAGAAGCAGAGGCATGATGACCAAGAGCTGTGTTTTTGGGAAAGCAGATATGTAGTCACTTGATCTAACCATAGAAAAGGGGTCTCCTACCTTGAAAACAAACATTTCTCGACGAAGAATAGCAAGAGTATTAAAATTTCCATCACAGATGTTGGGTTTGGCTCCAGGATAGGGAGGCTTGTCTCCTGGGGGTTGCCGGGGAGGTTTGGGTCTGTCATTCTTCCGTGGGTCAACTGGGGGGACAGAACGATGTGGCGGCACTGTTGGCAGAGGTTTTGTTGGTGGTGAGATTTTGTCAGGTGGACCTGTTTGAAAAGAGATAAGCATAGCATCAGATAACTCTATATGTCCTATGTACTATTCAGTTTATGTGATGGTAAATGAGCACCAAAATAAAATGTATCAAATGGAAAATTTTGTATTGACAAGATACTAAATGAAATGAACTAGTAAAACCAGGTACCTGTGACCTCTACATATTTTGAGAGTATTTGAGTTTCAGAGTCTGTATTCCCAGTTACACAAATTAACTGAGATAGAAATGTTCACACTTTAATCTATAGTTAAGCTTAACTTAATTAATCACACTGAGTAGTTGATTAAAGCCCACAGCTCCACAACATTTCCTATCTTTTTCTGCTCTCTTTTTAAAATAATTGCCTGAATTTCTTGGTTGTAGAGATAAGTTTTAATCCACTGTGCATAAATCTCCAATGCCAACATGTTTCCTTCTTACCATGAATTGGGAAATTGACAAATTGGAATTAGTTGCTAGCTTCAAGGCCAGGCTACTAAGATTGGATTAATTAGCTCCAATAAAATTTGTATAATTTGGTTGAGGTTGTGTGTGCAGTATCTGACTTCCTGAATTTTTTTACTCTTTTGATATGCTTTAAGTCGTCAGTACTCTGGCTATTTTATAGTCTGCTGCAAAGAATAGGCAAACTATCCTTATGATTGCCATTATAGCAATGCTATGAGATTTTTATAAAGTGTAATAGCTGTGGAAAAAATAGAGAAGACAAAGAAATCTAGAAACAGAAGGGAAATGATAAACAGAACTATGAAATTGCTGGCAAGGTCCTGTTTTTCTTACTTCAATTTACAATTACAATGTTGCCCAATAAATAACTAAACCTCTCAGTGAAATTGCATAGCTCTTTCAGTGTGTCTGTGCTGTTGAATAAGGCTGAAAAACATATATTTATTTATTTACTGTATTTATACCCCACCCTTCTCACTCTGCTATAGAGCAGAATGATGTGGTCAGGCAAAGGTTTTTTTAGTGTGGTATTTTCATAGCAAGCAAAAGTGACTGAATTGAGAAGGGGAAGCAACTACTGTTTTCCTGTTTTGTGGAAAAATGATTTGTATTGTATTTTATAAAGTATCCTCTAATATAAGCTTTGCTGGCATCCCACACTGTTCGAATATCTGTACCTTGATTTAAGTTAAGTTCAAAATATTGTTTACAGTTTTTCTTTACAATTCTTATGTCCTTGGATTGGATGACCCACCGAATGGGGGTTAGACTGGGTGGCACATGAGGTCTCTTCCAATTCTATGATTGTATGATTTTATGATTTTGCATTAATGATTCATTCAGTTGCCCTCTAAGTATTTTTATTTTCTCTTTAATTACTAGAGTCACTGGGTTATTATCTGAGATCATTTTGGGTAGAATTTCTGTCTTTTGAACTTGAGTTCTGAGTTTGTCAGTTATTTGTATCATATCAATTCTAGAGAAAGTCTTATGCCTTTCTGAAAAATATGTATATTCCTTAGCACCCCTGTTGACATGTTATTTTATTCTTAAATGAGGTATCTTTAGGTTTGTGTGAACAGACCTGTGATGAATCTTTCCCCTTCTTCCAACCTTTTCCTGCCCTCCCCACAGTTTATTTATTCATTTATTTACTTTGTTTTATTACCTGCCCTCTTTCCCTCATTGAGGGACTCAGAGGGACTAACAATTGGCTACAATTTGATGCCATTCAAACCTAGGACAAGACAAACTCAAATAAATTTAAATCTTGGAGTGTGCTGTCCTCTTTGTCTTGTTCATTAATTGGTGCCTTTCTTTTTTGTGTGTTTCTTTCTATTTGCTTATTTTCATGTCCTTGACTTCTTTCTCCCTTTTCTTGTGTCTTGTTCTCTCTCTTTCCCTCCCAACATGGAACCACTATCCTTTTCAAAATCAGAGAAGAGTTGCAGAAATGGGCTGAGAGCCTTGAATGCATGAAGGGAAAAGTTTTTTTACAGGGCTGGAGATGAGATTTTAAATACTTTCCCTTGGAAGGGAGATTTTTTATTGATCAGGGACCATTCATTTCCAAGTGAGAAGAGGTGGAATGGGGATGGGAAAAAGATTGGGAATGCTTTCTCTCTCTTCCAAACAGATCACAGCTTAAGCAGTTTAGTTCCTGAGTTGGGGAGATTAGTTGGTTGGAGGGTTGGTGGCTGATTTCGCCACTGTGTGTGTGATTTTGTGTGCGTGTCTTCGCTGGGTGCCAGGCTTCATTGTGGCTTGAAGTGGTCCAGAGAAACCAAATGCTTGCCCCATGAATTTCAATGCCCATTTTTTCAAAGGCTTTGGACATTGGGCAAGGAATCTTCCTCTTGCCTTTGTGTCTCCCCACTCGCACAAATTGATGGCCAGTTTACTTTCAAGACAAACCACTGAACAGAACTAAAGGTCTCCAGAAGTAGGGAGTGGGAGTAAGGAGATGAGCACACATGTGTTTATGTTTCCTTCAGGGAGCTTGAACTTTTCACTTTGGAGAGGAGGAAGAGGGCGAGTGGTGATGATGATGGAGGAAGGGGACTTGAGGATGACCCACTAAGTCCTACGAGAAGGAAGAGCTCCATTCTGGAATCTGTCTGATCCCTTCACAGCTCTTGAGATTTGGAGGAAAGAAAAGAGATTTGGAAAGTAGGGAAAAGAATTACTTCTTGCAAAGCCTCCACTTTGGCAAAGTTATTGACTGAAGGGAGTGGGAGCCTCCAACCTTGACTTCATGGTCACATAAATTAACATGGCAGCCTAGATTTAACCTGTGGCTGTATGTCTGACACATGTGAATTAGAAAAACATGGGCAAGAGCCTTCTCAGTGGCTGCCTGCAGGCTGTGGAATTATCCTCTTTTTGTAAACAGGTGAAGTATTTTTTTTATTTTGACAAGCCTTTGAGGGCTGAATGTTTATGCAGAATGGACCTGGTACAATATAGGCATTTCGCATTTGTCATTTTGCTCTGCTGCTGTATTTTTTATGCTTGACCTTGAAGGAGTTGGGGGTGGCCACTGCTGACAGGGAGCTCTGGCATGGGCTGGTTCATGAGGTCATGAAGAATCAGAAGCAATTGAACAAATAAACAATATTTTTTAGCCTTTTAAAAATGAAATTTGAGCACTATTAAACTGTTGAATGTTATTTTGTTGTATGCTTTGAATCTCAAATTGGGAAGAAGGTAGGAATCAATTAATATTTATAATTACAACAACAAGAATAATAATTATAATAACAATAATGTATTGTCGAAGGTTTTCATGGCTGGAATCACTGGGTTGTTGTAGGTTTTTTCGGGTTATATGGCCATGTTCTAGAGGCATTCTCTCCTTGCCTCTAGAACATGGCCATAAAGCCCAAAATTTTTTACAACAACCCAGTGATTCCAGCCATGAAAACCTTCAACAATACATAAAACTGCACGTTCCACAACTCCATATCAGTGAGCTAAGGCAGTTCAAGGGGAATCAATCTACATTAATTGTACAGTGGAGATGTACCCTAGTCTAAGGCCCCATCTACACAGCTAAATAATGCAGTTTGAAATTGCATCATATGGTCAGTGTGGATCCATGCAATGCAATTTAACTGCATTGAGCTGCATTATATGTGTTGATACCAGGCATAAGCAAACTTTATGTGTTGATACCAGGCATAAGCAAACTTGGGTCCTCCAGGCGTTTTGGACATCCAAAAATTTTTAGGAGAGAATGCCTCTAGAACATGGCCATATAGCCCGAAAAAAACCACAACAACCCAATAATAATAATAATAATAATAATAATAATAATAATAATAATAGATAGTGAGTAAAAACCCCTGAAATTTCTTCACCTGTATAATATTCCAGCTAAACATTTAAAACAAATCACATTCTTGAATCTATCATGGCATTAAAGGATGGGGGATAAGGAAAAGGAAGTGTGTTGCAGCAACAGGCTATATATGCTTTGAAAATGCTAAATCCAAACTAAAGTTTCACATTCTGTTTGCTAGTGATGTCATGCCTAACTCCCCAAGGGCAATAAAACTCTTCAAAGCTTAGCTTACAGCTGCTAGAAACCAGTATTTAGTGTAAAGGCAAAATAACCTTGTCTAGCCCTTCTGTCTAGACTTCCAACTCATGAGGTCATGAGAAACACCTCCTCCTTCTTAACCACATAGAAGAAACCCAACTGTTTAATTTCCTCTGTGGAGTAGCTTGGATGTGATAGTGCTCGCAATAGGTAATAGAACTCTTCTATCTTATTGTGACCATATCAGCAGGAATCAACAACACCTCTGATTCCTAACACCTAGTTCATCAGCCTTAAAAAATACAGAAAATGTTCTTGGGAAACTGCAAGACAAATCTTCCTCCTGATCCAAGCCAGCCATAAGCTAAACACACACAAATGCCAACAGAATACAAACAAAAGGAACAAGAAGTAGAGAATGGTAAACTCTAGTATGCAAATAAAAGTCACTTTAAAGTTAAGATTAAATGAGGAATTTAAACATTATTTAATCAAATGTTAAAATAGAAGTCAATGATGAATAAAGACAAATATCAGAAGGTGACTTTAAAAAAAGGATTAATTTTTCAATCAGTTTGGTATATGAAAAACAACTGAGAAATGCATTTCCAAGCCCCACAAGCATCTGTTTGCTTAAATGTCCATCCACAGTGTCAATTACCTTCAGAGACATATGTAAAAGATTTAGGATGCTCTGGGCAAAATCTGTGTGCTTTGATGATCAAAGGGGATTGGGGGCTATCACTACCTTAGCACTGGCATGAGTTCTGAATGAATACTGTTTTTCATTTTAAAGATTATTTTATATCTCAAGACAGAAACATATGGACAACATGACTAAAAGATCAAGGCCAATATCCTGTTCAACATTAGTGTAGTGTAAATGTATTCTCACTAATTTGTGCTATGTTGCTACATTACACGAGCTATCCTGAGACAGGAATTATTATTATTGTTTTCATCCTCACCACCACCAATCACTCCACCTTTTCCCAGGATTATGGCTTCTAGGGAGGATTCATATGGACAAGTACAGTTGCTCACTAACCCTGGATGCAAATTTGCTCTGGGTAATGCCTTTCCAAAAACATCAAGGAACTGCAACCAGAAGTATAAATGAACAACAATATTCCATCCCAACTATTTCTCTTCTTTTCCATAACCCTATATGGATTCTGTAATAAGCATGCATGAAAATGATAATGTGCACATTTTTATTTATGCATCATGTATGGTCATCTCAGTACAAGGAGCCCCCGGTGGAGCAGTGGGTTAAACCCCTGTGCCGGCAGGACTGAAGACCGACAGGTCGCAGGTTCGAATCCGGGGAGAGGCGGATGAGCTCCCTCTATCAGCTCCAGCTCCTCATGCGGGAACATGAGAGAAGCCTCCCACAAGGATGATAAAAACATCAATTCATCCAGGCATCCCCTGGGCAACGTCCTTGCAGACGGCCAATTCTCTCACACCAGAAGCGACTTTCAGTTTCTCAAGTCGCTCCTGACACGACAAAAAAAAATCTCAGTACAAAGTCCCATTGATTCAAATTTGATAGCTGGATTTATTTGGGATAAAGTATGCTTTACTGCGTATCTGGAGGTTATGTGTTGGCTATCTTATCTTAAAGGGCTCCACAGTCACATATATGTACCCACCGCCAGGACACCGAACTTGGAGAACAACTTTACTCGGACAACGAGGGATCGCCTAAGTAAGTAAGTCTTATTAATACAAACAGAAGGAGATTTATATGCATAATATGGATGATCTTCAACAAAATGCACATTTTTAATAGATAGACAGATTAAAGACCATACCATAAATCTTTTGGATTCCCTGCAAATCATCATTAGGTAGTTTGAAGTTGTCTGTTTCCATGTACTGGTAAAATGGAGCCATGATGGCGGTTGGATCATTGGAATGCTCCAAGCCTAGTGCATGCCCCAGTTCATGAACTGCAACTAGAAACAAGTCATTTCCTGGAGAGAGAAAAGAAAATAATGGTTTATGGTTAATTTATTGTTAGTTATTTGACACATTAAAGCTGGCTAACATTTGTGTGGTGGCTTATGTGTAATGCCTTTCGGGTGCTCACTCAGCCACCAGGCCATGAGTTACTCTCATTCTTCTTACCTCACAATCTTTAAAACCCTGCACTGGGTTGTGTAACTGGGTGCCCTAAGGTCGCTTTAACAATGGATGAGCAAGTGTCGGTTTGATCTAGTAATGTCTGACAATTCTTACTTTAGCCTTTTAAGTAAAGGGCTTTCAGGCAGCGAAAGAAATCAATAAAAGACAAAGGTTTGCTGACTTACAATCAGATTTAACTTCTAAAATGGAACATAACATGTTCAGCATCTCATATCCAGCATGTAGCATATGCAGTGTAGCAAATAATGAAATAACATCTTTCCCTTGACCACTTTAGCACTTCACAACACTTTCACCTCCAACTAATTACATTTCCATTTTCACCTGACTCTATTTTCATCTTTTTTTATAACTCAGGGCCCTTTTACATTACAAAATAATAGCAATATGATTCCATTTTAGCTGTCATGGCTACATCCTCTGGAATCTGAGGTTTGGAAGCTCGGTGAAGCCTCTGAATCCCCCCTCATTAACAGCCAATTCCAGGACTGGACAGAACCATAACCAAGGAATTGGGAATTGCATCACAGATCTACAATGGTATAATGTAAAAATACTAATCCCTTTTCATTTATGTTCCATCTTACCATTGAACTAATTCTCCTTTTATATTTTTTCTACCTTAGCTTCTGCATTTTCAGAGATGTTACTGTTTGTCTCCATTAAGGTCATGGAGGCTAATGATTTAGCCTTCTTTACATGTACTTTCCAAGCATCAGTTGTTCAATATTGTAATTAAGATGAAGGTTTATATTCATGAAACCTCATGGTAAAATAAAAACCAATTAGTCTGAAAGGTGCTGCCACTTTTCTTTTTTCTCACTTTCCCTTCTGCTCTAGCTTTTTAAAACATGCATTCATATAGTAAACCAAAACAAATAAGGAACTCACATAAACTAGTTCAAATCTATTCTTTGAATGGCACAGTTGTTCAGTCTGGACAGTTGATTCATCTGAATCAAACCCAGTCCAGACTGCCCTGAAGTCCCAGGATACTCTCAAGTTTCCAGCAAATGACAAAGTACCCCCCCACCACCACCACTTTGCTAAAAGTGGAGAAAAGTTGGTCTTATTTATATATTTATTTATTTACATCACTTATATCCCGCCCATATCAGCCCGCAGGCGACTCAGGGCGGTCTACATATCGGCACAATTCGATGCCATCAATACATTACAACAGCAAAAACAATTAAGTGCATTTAGACAAAAAAGACAGTGCAATAACAATTTTAAAAGAGCTATATCCTCTGTTTCCAATCCTCATCCATTTCATCGTCTTGGTCGTTCCTGGGTCATTCTCCATCTCAAGCTTGACTATCTATTCCGGGGTTCCGAATGCTTGCTCGAAGAGCCAGGTTTTTACTTTCTTCTGAAAAGTCAGGAGGGAGGGGGCTGATCTAATATCCCTAGGCAGGGAGTTCCACAGCCGAGGGGCCACCACAGAGAAGGCCCTGTCCCTCGTCCCCGCCAAACGTGCTTGCGAAGGAGACGGGATCGAGAGCAGGACCTCCTCAGATGATCTTAACTTCCTGGAGGGTTCATAGGAAGAGATGCGTTCGGATAGGTAGTGGGCCGGAACCGTTTAGGGCTTTATAAGCTAAAACCAGCACTTTGAATTGAGCCCAGTAGCAAACTGGCAGCCAGTGGAGCTGATGCAGCAGAGGAGTTGTGTGCTCCCTGAGCGCCGCTCCTGTTAGCAACCTGGCTGCCGCACGCTGGACCATTTGAAGCTTCCGGGCTGTCTTCAAAGGCAACCCCACGTAGGAAAAGCAGGAAAAGAATTCTTAGCAGGAAAAGAATTCACTGGAAAGCACGGTGTATAATAAAAACAGCTAGCAGTCTATTCATGGTAAGTATGGGTTCTTTTGGTTATCTAGACAAGCTCTCTGTTTACAAAAGCTTGTGCCTTGAACTTAATGACCGATATGACTTATATGGCTATGTCTTTCACTATTTCCTCATGTGTTTTATTTTCATTTTAAAAATAAGTTTACAAATAATTTTAAATGGTACTCTATAATTCTCTAAAGCAAATTAGCAAGAATAAGAATTCTTGAGTAATCTTAACAGTTATATCTCCAAAAGTAACATTTATTTCCAAACATCCCAAAGAATTGTGTTTTTCAAACACTGGATTATCTCTTGCCCTTTCACAGTAATAGCTACATCCCAAATCCCGTTTTTTAAAAAGTAGCTGTTTTACCAGCATGAATCCATGCAATTTCAGCTTTACCAAAGAGATTAAGATTTTTAAATAGCTAAAAAGAAAAATGGGGTATTGTCTTCATTGACATACGATGTCTCTTAATACTGAATGGTTGTCTGAAAAAAGCAAATCAACCCCTAAGTAAATTAATATAGTCTCCTTTTTAAAATATACAAAATCTCAGAAATACAAAGAAATATCTAAAAAGAACACTTTATTTTTGTGAAGCTTCAGTATCATCTGAGTCAAACATTGTATTCAAATTGGAGAACAGGACTTCAACCTTTTCATGGCTCAGGTTTACTAAGTGGGTTTACCAGTATAATTGTTTCATGATGTTTTCAAGCTACTGAATAACAGAAGATATAGGTTTTTATAAAAGAAACCCAACTACAGTTTTTCTCTCACGAAACATCCCCTGAAAGCACCATTTAATCTGGCAGAGTTCAGGGTCATCCTTCCAACTTATAGCATATGGGTACAAACTAAATTGATTGTTTACAATGATGAGAAAGTCAGTCAAGGGGAATTTCAATAGAAATTGAATTGACATGTCCTTGCTCGGGAGTTTAGATGGTCAGTTTCCTCCTAAAGCTAGTCTTTGAGCTATCTTGTTGTCCATATGAATCTGCACACCAGGCTGATATGCAAGACAAATTTATTCTTCTTCACTACAAATCTGTTTGCCTGCAAAGTTCTGTGCAGACCAACAAATAAAACATTCCCTGCCCCAATAAATTTGGCCCAAGGGAAAGTACTCTCTTAGCTTGTTATTTAACCAGTACTGTCTTAACATAAGGGTCATTGTAACCCCTCCCAAAATCTGATAAATGAGTTAGTAAGATAAAACTTATTTATATAAGTTCCATTTGTTTAAGGAATATACTCTGGATGTGTGCCTATGAGAAAATAAACAAACTATGGCTTTGGCTTGTGCTCTGTTTAGCATGTTGTCTAGATGTAGGTGCTTTCTCTTCTGAGGACCCACTTATCCCCCTACGAATCCCAGAGATTACTTCGGTCCGAAGACCAAAATTTGCTTGAAGTCCCCAACATCCGGACTTATCGTCTGTCCTCTACTAGGCAGAGAGCCTTCTCGGTCGTAGACCCTTATTTATGGAATGCCTTGCCGGTTGAAACCCGATCTATCCGAGACCTACTTGCTTTTCGGAAAGCCTGTAAAACCTTTCTCTTCCGACAAGCTTTCGATGGGTGAATAACTCGGGACTATGTCTGTTCTTGTTTTATTGTATTTTAAAGTTAATTGTATTGTTTTAATCTACTGCTGTAAACTGCTCCGAGCCAAATTGGGAGTAGCGGTATACAAGTCAAATAAATAAATAAAATAAAATAAATATTCAATGTATTGTCGACGGCTTTCATGGCTGGAATCACTAGGTTCTTGTGGGTTTTTTCGGGCTATAGAGCCATGTTCTAGAGGCATTTCTCCTGACGTTTCGCCTGCATCTATGGCAAGCATCCTCAGAGGTGTGAGGATCCCTCTTGTCCTTTGCTGAACGTAGGATTTTCTTGGTGGGTTTGTAGATTGTTTGTATGTTGTGTTTCCTCATCAGCTTCCCTATGTGGTCAGTGGTTCCCTTGATGTATGGCAGGAACACATACAAACTATCTACAGACCCCCCAAGAAAATCCAACAAATGCTACGTTCAGCAAAGGACAAAAGGGATCCTCTCACCTCTGCAGGAGTCTACCGTATACCATGCAGCTGTGGACAAGTCTACATAGGGACCACCAAACGCAGAGCCCAGACACGCATCAAGGAACATGAAAGGCACTGCAGACTACTTCAACCAGAGAAGTCAGCCATAGCAGAGCACCTGATGAACCAGCCTGGACACAGCATATTATTTGAGAACACAGAAATGCTGGACCACACCAACAACCACCATGTCAGACTACACAGAGAAGCCATTGAAATCCACAAGCATGTGGACAATTTCAACAGAAAGGAAGAGACCATGAAAATGAACAAAATCTGGCTACCAGTATTAAAAAACTCAAAAATTATAACAGCTAAACAACAGAGAGGAAAAACCAGGCACAGATTAACACCTCCCAGCAACAGATTTTCCCAGACTCAGGCAGGCCTTCAAATGCTAATGAAGGTGATCAGCTAAACATTCACACCTAACTGCAGCAGGGAAGAGCTCCTTACCCCACCCCAGCCATTCCACAGATATATAAACCCATTTTCCTAATTCCAACAGACCTCACTACCTCTGAGGATGCTTGCCATAGATGCAGGCGAAACGTCAGGAGAAATGCCTCTAGAACATGGCTCTATAGCCCGAAAAAACCCACAAGAACCTAAACAATCCAGAGTTTATTCTTTTCTTGTTTCTCTTTGGTAAAGGGAAGGGGACCAGAAAAGAGAATTTATTTGAGTTTGGGTGGCAAACAAAACAAAACAAACCAATTCAATAAGTATTCACCAATCATGCTTTAAGCAGGAACAACAAGGCAACAGATATCAGTACCATGCTTAGAACTGATAAACCATTGTTCTCAGGCCAACATACATTTGTAGCCAACATGAAAGTTAAGAGTATATAAAGTGCAGGTTTAGATAAGGATGTTCCAATCAGAAAAGAATATTGG